ATCCTATCAATATGGGCCAACATTTCTAAAGAATGCTTTCAGCACCTTGTTGAATCAATGCCACGTAGAATTAAGGCAGTTCTGAAGGTCGAAAGGGGGTCAAACATTGTATTAGTATGGTGTTCCTAATAATCCTTTAGGTGAGTGTATTTTAATATGCATATAACATCTGTTCGCTTACTGTAAACTTTACAACAGTGCACTTATACACTATGCGGCTCTAAGATACGCTTTGTTCTAATATGGAGGCTGAATCTTCATTATGCAAAGTTTTATTCAGAAACAGAACATCTGTTGCCTTCACAAATCAAAAAATATATTATTACAAGAAGTTTTTAACTCAAGGCAGTTATATGACATAAATGACTGAACAAATTCCAAAAGTCTTGAGTTTGCATACAATACATATTATGTTTAATATAGACACACACCATATGTGTATGAGCACTGCAGGTCATTAAGTGGCTTTCTCCCTCTATGTGTGTGTGTGTGTGTGTGTGAGAGAGAGTATCTGTGTGTGTGTTTACCACCAATGTGTGGTAAAACTTGAATCTTCCTTACTTTTGGGGACATTTCTCAGGTTCCCATTTAGATAACCTCAATTTTATGAAAATCTGTGAATGCAATGAAAAAAGTAGAAGTGCAGAGAGTCCTCTATTTTGTTTGGTTACTTATGATTAAGGTTACGGCTGGGTAGGGGTTAAGGGTGTCATGATTGGGATTAGGGTTTTCCCCATAGAAATGAATGGATGTTCCTTACAAAGATATGAGTAACAAACGTGTGTGTGTGTGTGTGAGCGGTTTGCATATTCTCCCTGTGTTTGTGTGGGCTTTCTCTGGGTACTCTGCTTTCCTGCCACAGTGCTAAGACACTTGCTAGGTGATTTGGTATTTGGCCCAAAATATGTGTGTGTGTGCCCCCCAACTTCATGCTTCAAGCTCACCACCTCCCTGTACTGGAGCAGTTATTATTTAAGATGGATGGGAATTTGCTTGAGCTCATCACTTTTGTCCTCTGAAAAGGTTTATTGCTGGCACACATGAGATATTACGGTTATAGTCGCTCTCTGTTTGTTTTAAGTGAATTCCCATTGCCTTTATCCAAGTTATGGCATTTTGCCCAGGAACAGATCAATCAAGCCTTTTAATGCATAAACCCATCCAGTTAGAGCAGTGCTGAAGTCAGCACAATTCATCTGCAGCTTCAAAATATAACCTCACCAAAAATAGTAAAATGTGCATACCCTGATGAGCCCCCACCCCCCATGCTGATCTGAAAAATCCCACTGTTTTAAGAGTGAACAGAACCTGCTATTCTTAGTGACTAGTGCTGGAGAAATACAATATTTGCTGCTGTTATGCTGAAAAACACAATAGCTAGGAAGGGCTGGACTGAAGAAAGAGCATCATGTGTAACTGCAGTTGGGAGACCAGCTGTGAAATCCAGCTACTGTAACCTGTACTCTGATGGCATTTGGGTAGACGTTTGCTCAAGCTGGATTTTCATGTTTTTTTTATGCATCGATACTTGGTGAATTAACTTGGTGAATAAGAAGCAGAAATGAATGGCATCTATAGGGCTGCCATTCTGCAGCTCACATCTCAAAAGGGTGAAGTGTCACAGTCTGTTAATACATATTGTTAGGCATGCATTATAGCAAGAATCAGGCTCTGATTAGCTCCAATAACCTTCCACAGTAGTACCCTAACCATTAATAACCTCTCTAGAACAAAAAGAAAACATTTAAGAAGGGCCATCCCCAATCCCCACCCCAAAGTAGGGGATATAAGTCTCTAGGCATATTGTTATTTGGCTGCCACTCACATTGGCCAAAACTCAGATTTGATCAGTTCAATGTGGTCCATTAACTGAATAGTTTGCCTCCCCTGCCCTAGACAGACAGACACTCAATGATGGAAGGTGGAAGATTACCACAGACAAGACAACTGTGATCCAGGCCTGGTCACTACAAGCAAGGATGTTAGCCGACGTCCAGTCAAATCAGAAACGAGAGTTTATTTTACAACATACCCATGCCATTTTAATAAATGCTTACAGGTGCAACAGTCTGTGGAAGAATACATCCCAACAAAAGGGGAAAGACACTCATAGGGTAGAGATGCACTAATCACTGTAGCACACTGTAGAATCATTTGGGTTTAACATCATTCTAAAGAGGGGAACTGCAGTGTCCTATGCAGTTCCCTAGTATAGTGATATTTCATCCCAGTGATGAACCTATTCTAACCTATCCCATTCATGCTCTCCAAGAGACACACACACACAATGACAAGTCAGAGCAAGTTTTGGGGGTCACAGCACAGGGTCAGCCAATGTCAGCACTCCTGGAGTAACTGGGGTTAAGGGTTTTGCACAGGAGTAAAACAGTGCCATCAGTTTGCCGGCCCTAAGATTCAAACCTTCTGATTATGGGCACAGAGTACTAAACCACTGACCCACACACTGTCTCCAATATATACTACAAACTAGAAGACAGAACTAAGAGATAGTGTATGCAACATGGCACAATGCAGTTATTCCCAAACACTGTGAAGCCCCTAACTGTGACTCATAACCACTGTCACAGATGATGTGAACATACCTTTTCCTACTGAGGAAATTCGCTGTCTTGATTATCTTCCCCATATTTGAAGATGGACAAATTAAAAGTGCAATGAACATTTTCCATGTCATGCACTAAGAGAAGGAGATGGATGTTATTTATACAATTACGTGATGTAGTGTGCTTGTTTTCTTAGACCTTGGACTGACTGCATTACAGTCAGGTAAGGGAATCCTGTTATTTAAATCAGGACCTGCGACTCGATCATGATCTGCACAATGTTAACAGACATCATAGCTTTCATTGAGCACAACTGTCTGTACATTATCAACATAATTTAGAAACGTCACTGGAACTCAAACAAAATAGAAATCCATGTAGGACATTCCTGAAGAGGAACTTTAAAGAAAAAAATATTTTAAAAGATCCCAGAGGCAGTTAAACAACACAGACAACAAACCAACAAAAACTGATTCCAGTGGGTGGATTAGAGAGATTTTTTTGGCATAAAGGTGAGAGAGAATAAGATGAGCTCTTCTCCAGCTTCTACTGCAAGGTGTCAACAAACGCATCAAACTCGTCAATGTTCCTCTCATATATGGCCAATTTCTCCGGTAAGGAATCCTGTTGGAAAAGAAGATGGAAAACTTTTACCATTCGTCCACCCACCTCTGCTTATCCTGGTAAGGGTCACAGGGGAAAACATTTACATTTTTTTTTGTCTAAAGTGACATACAAGAAAGGCAGATAATTTATACTGAGCATACAGCTGTCAGGGAGGCATTTTAGGTACAAGCACAACTTTTCAAAAAGAATCACCATGTAGAAAACATATACAAACTAAGTTACGTGCACCGTGGTCTAGGATCAGTGTAAGTAATAAACAGCTACACTGGGCTGCTTGGGTAGCGAGCCACCCAGTCGCCCTACCAGGTCCTCGGCCATGGACTGTGCACTAACATCTATGGACAGGCTGGACAGCTGCGGAGGGTTCTGGAACTCCCGGTAGAATGTGCCCAGGTCCATTGGAAGGAGGTCATCCTTTGAGAAGGCTGGCTTCTGCAGCACACAAGAAGGGGCCCATAGTTACTGCGTATGAAGCCTGCGTGGGAGGGGCTCCCATCGTACCAGAGAGTTTTTTTAACCATTATTATTATAGGGTCTGACTGAGGCTCCATCTGCTCATAGATTCACTACTGAGAATAATACATGTGCCCTGACTGGTCAGACAGGAAGTTTCATACTGAAAATTAAACCTTGTCCAATGTTCAGTACTCTACATAGGACATGCTAAACCTGACCACTGGGGGCAGTAGCAGAGTAGAGGATGTTGGCAAAATCACACAATATTATGAAAAATTCTGCCCAATCACTTCAGGGGGCCCTATCCTGGACCACATTTAGCCATCGGCTAATTCCACCACAGTGTGATAAAAACACTACTGGGGATCTGATGCACAGTGCCTTCTGCGGATGTCCACTCCTCATCCACAGCTATAACACATCAGTAAGCATCCTCTCTTTTTACATTACAATCTAATGCGTTATGTTGTAACTGCACATAACTTGTCTGCAAATTATTATTATGCTCATCTTTAAATATTTATTTTTATCGCTGTTTTTCCTGTAAAAGGATTGCTATGGTTTATATGGGCTATAGGGTGGTGCAGGAACAAGATTCTCGATCTTTCATATTGCACAAAATTACCTTAAATGGATAGAGTGAGACCTATCAACAGCTCGCTGTACAAATAAAATGCATTATTATTAAAATTATTACTATTACTTATAATAATAGTGATAATAATAACAACAATGTGCCAACAATGTGAGTTTTATGTTAGAAATGAGAGAGACTGAAGCGACATGATGAAGGAGAACCTCAGTCATCCTTGTATCTAGTGAGCGTGTGAGAGTGCCGCACAGCCAGGCCCTTACAAAGTCCACCATGACAAAGTCATCCTGATGCTGGCCGCCACTATCAATGGAGTCTTCGGAGTTGAGGCTTCCGTGCAGGGGTGAATCGGGGGTGGGCGAGTCTGGGGGTCGGACCTGGGCAACGTGAAGGTAGGAGGTCAATCACCACCAAGTAACCACAGCCTGAGAACTCTGAGTGCACAGCCCAACACACAGCCTGAGAACTCTGAGTGCACAGCCCAACACACAGCCTGAGAACTCTGTGAGTGCACAGC